AAACCACTGCCTAATGAAAAATTTACTAATAGAATATGAAATGCTCCTTCACTAATGAAATGTAACTAGTGGCAGCAAGAGGCTGATTAGAGAGGAAAGTCAGCTTTCTTACTTAAATGAGGAACTCCATTTGCTTTGAGAAACTCCTATCTACCACCAGGACTTGCTCTTGTACTTTGACCTGCTGTCTCTCCTTTCCTTTACAGGTTGCAGGTTCACATCACCTCTTGTTGCCTCCAGTACTGGAGACTGGCACATAAGCACCTACCTTGATTCCTCTACTCATATTGGTCACTCCATGGATGATCCTACTCATTTCTAAGACATAACTGCCCATTACAGCCAGCCTGTACCAACATTGTCAAATTCACATGAGCTGCTGTGTCTTCCCTCTTCCCTTCTAAAGAGCTTCTCTGCCCATCATCAACCCCCAGCTATCACCCAGCTCTTCAGATCTTCAGACCTACTGGGAAAAAACATTAGTTTCCTTTACCTTTAAATTCATTTTCTGAACTCTTGTACAGCTTTAGCCTGTACAGCTAAAGCTCCTTTTTCCCTTCCCTTTACCACCACTGATTTTTCTTGTTTCAGTTAATTCTTAAGCCTTTCAACTCGAATTCAGTTTTCTTTGCACCACCTACAATGTTATAGTTCCATGCTGCCAAAGTCCTAGGGCCTTTCTTCCATGCTTCCTCCGTTTCCTAAACTCATTTGATTTGCCTGCTGTTTCCTAAACCATCAGCTGTCCCTCAGCTTTCCTTCCATTTTCTCCTGGCTCTTTCTCTTCTCTGACCACTCTGACATCTTCCCTCTCTGTGTTTTTCATCCTCTTGGTGCAACATCTCCTGTTAGTGTTATAGCCACCCCACGATGACAGAACTATTACTGCTGACACAATTTCCTCCTGCCAGCAACACGTGATCCTTTTTTCTACTCCCACTCTCAGAACGGGTCATGATAACACCCACCATCCACTTTGCTCCACTGTCACCTCATTGCAGCAGCTGTCTAAGCCTAATCAGATAATTTTGCACAGCTCCAGGTAAGGAGCCATCTTATGTCAGATGTGGGGGTGAGCTCAAATCACACTGGATATATTCAGAAACAGACTGTCCAGGTATGCAAACTAAAGGTAGAAAATTCCCACAAGCTGCTGCATAATTCCTGCAAACCAATAAAACAGTTTAACATAACCACAAAGTCTTACCTAGGTCTTCACCTTCACAGCACAGCACTCCGAGTTCGGTTTGCAGCTGGTCAGAATGGTGAATGTAGGCAGCTGACGTAATTCTCCCTCTTCTTGGCTGATTTCACAGTTCAGTCTCCAGGTCATCAGCCATCAACACGTACCTAAAATTGACGAGGCTTAATTAAAAAGCGATTTGCCTGTCCTTCCAGCAACATGAACTTCGAATCTCTTTTCACATACATTCGCACCAAAGAGATCTGTTGGTTACACGGTTTCAGTCTGCCCCCTGCTGCAGGCTCAGCACACAGCTCCGCGATGCTGCTGCACGGCCTGGCGCTGCTCGTCTTCTGAGAACACTAACAGCACAGCCTGGCCGTGTCTTACAACTCAGATATCATGCACGTGTGTGTATATATATATATATATATATATGTGCATAATTGTATATTGGACTCAGGAAAGATTAAACTAGCAAAAAATAAGAGGTGCCACCAGATGTGGCAATGGGGGGACTTAAAGGTCTCTGGTAGGAAATTCAGAGCAAAGCAGCATGAACTGTGTAGGCACATCCTCAGGCAGACAGCACTGCAGTTAACTCTCCAGGTGTAAGGTAGCTGGCATTGACACCCCAGCCTCCCACCTCTCACGCTATGTACTCTCCCACTAACACACACTGAAAAGCAGGCAGACTGATGGCAAATCTCAGTTAAACGAAATAATCTGTAAATGTTATACATCCCAAAATACAGAGCAGTCATCTACTAAAGGCAACCACTCCATTCCAGTGGAAGTCAGTGTTAGCAAAACCTCGACACCCTAATGCACGTGCCACAAGCAAGAGCCCTCCCATCCTCTGCTTTGGCCCCAGGGTTGTAGGCCCACAGAGGAACCCACTGCTGAAATTGAAGCTGGAGAGACTCCCACTGCTGGCAGTGCACCTGAGGTAGGGCGGGACAAGCTGGAGCTCAGCCGTGACAGAGAGGAAGCCATTTGACCCCATATTGCTCATGTAACAGCCCATCGCTCTCTGCCCAGATGACACAATGCCGCTTGTCCCCAACAATAACAAAGACATATTTGCAGAGTGAGCCCAGGCCAGGCTGTGTCATGGGGCAAAGGTTACTTGAAATCAAAGATGCTTCAAGTGGGAGGACAAAAGCTACTTGACAAGGCAGATTTCCAGAACAAGACTAGTCTGGCCTTTATCACAGGACAGCGGTTACTTGAGATCACAGGGCAGAGGCTGCTTGAGAACAAAGGTTAGTTGAGGTGATGGGTTACGTGAGGTCAGAACACAGAGGTTATGCTGGGTCAAAAGTCACTTGAAGACAAAGGTTACTCAAGGTTAAAGGATTCTTGAGGTCACAGGGCCAAAGTTAATCTATGCCAAATGTTACTCAAGGTCAGAGGACAGAGGGTAGTTGCGGTCAAAGGTTACTTCCAGTCAAAGGTTACTTCCTGTCAAAGGTTAATTGAGACCACAGGTTTGTCAAGGTCAAATGTTAATTGAGGTCACAAGGCAGAGGATCCTCAAGGTCAAGGGCTACTTGAGGTCAAAGGATAGAATGTTCCTGAATGTCAAGGTTCTCATGGTCAGAGGACAAGTCACTCTAGGATAAAGGCTGATGCCAGGGCCCAGTCTCTAGAGCATTTTTGACACCTGTCAGCTGCCAACATGCACAACACATGCTCACGAGCAGGGGCCAAGGCCAGCTGGGCTGCAGGGCCCACACCATGTGCTTTCTCACCACCTCGGCCTCCAAGCAGGGGAGCTGCAGGGAGCTGCCTGCTGGGAACAGCCGTTCCACTGCCCTGCCTGCCCAACTACACACCACGCTTGGCTGGAAAAAGCTCTGCTTGGAACAGGCTGCCTTCACACCAGCGAACACTCCAGCAGCTTACCAGCACTGAGAACTCCAGTTCTCAGCACTCCAGAATTCAGGAATGCTTTACCTTAGAAGTGGAAATGCAGACAGGTGTCACCATGCAGAACTGCTGAAGAGATTAAAGGTGAAAGGGCAGAGGAGATTGACAGCGGTAATTTGTGGTGAAGCCATGGTGCTGACTTTGCAATGGCAGTCATCTTTTCATGCTTTAGAGTCAGCAGTTTTTCTTTACAACCTGGTTAATAAAACTGGTGGCCAGCTCCTCACAAGGATGTAGAAATATTACTCAAAAAAAAAGGAAAAAAAGAAAGCACGATACAACAATGGAGATACAGTTGAGAGTATTGGGAACTCTTATACTGAATTATGGGAATTAGATGCAAGGTTAAAGTCATCATTTCAAATTAACACTAAATGTAAGCTTGCCAGTAAAAGTTACTATAGTTCCAAATTTGAAACCCAACCAGAAAAATGTCAATACAATTATAATTTTTGAAACATTATTACTTTTTTTAATCTAGCAGTACTATCATGACAAACAGGTCACTTTAAAAAAAATATAAACACTAGTTCAAATATACCTTTCAAAAGTCACAGTAAACCTAAAAAGTTAGCATGTAACACTAGTCAAACGCAACAAAACCAATCTAAAATCCTCCCCGTAAACAGTACTAAAAAAGCAATTTGGGTGGTGGTGTGCTGTAATAGCTCATTTTTTCAAGTGCTGAAACTTTAAAAAGTTTCTTGTAAACGTAATGAATTCTTGAAAATTCAGGCAGCTTCATTCAACCAGAACTCAAACCCACAATTGGTCAGCTTTGTCTATTTTAATGTTCTGTCAGGATAAATACATGCCAGAAAACAGCTTCTGAGATGCAGGTCACCTCAGAACCAAACACATTTTAGTAGCAAACAAGAGCACCGCCCAGCTAATGCAGAGAAGAAATTCGCTTTCCAAAGAATTTGTGATTTTCAGCTGACAACAGGTGAGGTTTTGCTGAATGTCAAGTTCTTACAACGCCTCAAAGTACTTTGAAATAGCAAAGGCCTACAGTCAGTTTAATTGAAACTAGATGCCACAAATCAGCCCTAAAAAGCATGTAAAATAATCCTTCATCCCATTTGGGATGACAGTAAAAGAATTATCATTAGCTGGCAATGTCAAATTAGTAGTCAGACAAAGAAGTTGCTTTTTCACATGGACTGAAACCAAACTAAAAAAGAAAATAAAATAATGGAAAGACCTACTAGCCCTGCAATAGTTTGGTATTTCATTCATGATCTGCAATTTGTTTGCTTCCTAAAACCTACTTTTCTCATTAATTGCATTGAAAGCTTTTATGAAAGACAAAATAAATGCTTTACCTAAAGTCTCCGAAAGGATGTAATTGTAAACTTGTCTCTCCACACAGCATGCATAATAATCATAGTATGATAGAGTCTTTTTCTTATTTTAAAAAAAAAAAAAAAAATCAACTTCTTGGAGTGCCCACAGGGACCATTTATCTGCTGTTAAAGTTAGATGCCCCTACAATCCCTTAATTATCTTGCTACCCAATGCTTTAATACACACACTGCTGTGAGTCTCACGAAATCCAGCCTAATATATAAGTTCACAAAAACCAAACTTTGAATCCAAGTTTCTGAAGGCACCACCTTACCTTTTCCTCCTCACTTAATCAAGAAGAGAAATATACTCCATCATCTTCGGAAATAAACAACACAACCACCAGGATCTGAACCTGGCTGTTATTGCAGAGCAGTTGCTGCACCATAAAGCACCTGCGCACACACAGGCGAATTCATGCCGTAGTCGCTACACCTTCACCACAGCACAAACATTCTTAGGGGCCCGTAACTTATTTCCACCCCTTCCAAAATAACACTTGTCTGAAGCCAAAGGACTCAAGAGAAACGCCATGAAATCAGGTTTTCTAACTGATTTTTTTAATAAACTATAGAAGAACAAGATAACATTTCAACCCAAGTCATGACAGTTGCATGCTTAAAAGCAGATACATAACATGTCTCTGGATTTTTCGGTTCTCTTCAGGAAGAAAAAAAAAAAAGGAGAAAAACTGAAAGCTGAACACAATGCATAGATTTCTACACATATTCAAATAATAGCAGACTAAAGCAAGCAAAAACACAACTGGAAAAAATGTTTTGACAGTGATTCCAGATCGATAAAATTTTAAAAAAGGAAATTTCAGTTCTAAGAATCTTTACGCTGAACCAAGTTACGTTTTTACACAGCAGGAAAATAAGTTTTATCCATTGAGGCACTAGAGACAAAACTTACTTCCACAATAGCTCAAATGCATCTACTGTGTGAAATGAAAAACCTACAGGCCATAGCATACTAAAAATTTAGAATTTAAAAGGTTGCATTAGACTTGCACTTGCTCACATTGACACAGTGAAATCAGTGGAAAACTACTGTTTTTTCAGTTAGAATAAAATAAGGTTCTGATTGTTATTTCCAAACAGTTATCTTCCTAGCTTTATCTCATTGTCCTCGCTTGCCTCTTCTGTATTCTCATCAGGGAAAAAAAAATGGAGAGGTTCTTGTGCCACCCCATTCAACAATGTCTATAAAGAAATGCAAAGCACCTGTCCTTGTGCACAGTTTTATCCACGGTGATGCAGTCTCTTACTTCAGCACATTCCCCACATCACTGAGCTTCTACAGGCTTAATAAATTTGTTTAGAATTAGATACTCATGCTCTATAAGGAATGCTTATTTCTACCTTTCGATTCGCATTTTCTATGGGTGTTAGGGAGTATTAAAGACAAGGAGTCTTCACACAGTAACTGGAGTGATCACACAGCAAGAGGAACTTGAGACAGAAAGAAAGGAGCTCATATGGATATGAATGCCGCTTTCTTTATGAGGAAGAATATTAATGATCCAGCGAGGTTTCCACCCAGATGCTACAATAACTGGCACCTCTAAACACCTACATTAAAATATACCTCGATATCTTAATCAGGCACTTAAATAGAAAAACAAAGGAATAACACTGAACATGGGGTACTGGGGTAGCTATTCTGTAAGGCCAGAACATCTCGTATGAAGCACTCAGAAAATTAACTGTCCCACAGAATCAAGTAACTGATATCAGGGGCTAAATGAATGGAGAGTCCCTCACTAGACAAGCCTGTTTTAAAAATAAAGACTGATAAATGGTTAGCAAATATTTGGTAGAAGCCATTAACCCCAAACTTAGATTCTTCACTATCTTATGTAAAATGTAGTGCAAGGCTATTAATCCCTTGAGAAGATGGATCCAAAAGTAAACATTCAATGTGCTTTAATTTACAAGATTTTCTTTTTCCCCACAAAAAAAAAAAAAGTTTCTCCACTGATAACAAGCTCCCTGAGGGAATACATCAATTTTTTCAAGGGAAAAAAAGCAATCATTTAAAAACAGAATCTGCAAAGCTCCAACAATCAATAGTTGCTCTGTTTTGAACCATAACACATTTCTCATCAACATTTCTTTGGAAAACACAAGTTAGAACAACCATTCACTGGTCCTGTAAAAGAACCCTGACCTCCCTTATTTTAAGTAGTATCCTGGAAATGACAGTAATCGTTCTTTAAAAATGGTAATGTATGTATTTTAGTTAAATACACTCCAAAGTTAGAGGAAAACTCCACCTGCAAGACTTTGTCTACCAACACTTAAATGGTTAATTACAGATTCTGTCACAAAAATACAGAATCAAGGAAAAGAGGTGGAAATTCAATTGTAAGGCTAAACTCTTAAGAAGTTATTTATGTTATGGAAGTTAAGGGACAAATGAAACAATCTACAGACACACAAAACACCATTTTTATCGTAATGAAAATGCCAAGTGTTTAAACCATTCTCAAGTAATTTATTTCTTTTTACTGATGATTTACAAGGCCTTGATTATTAGACAAAATAGCATATTTTAACTAAACTAAAAAAAAATACAAACCAATAGAGTATAGAAGGAAATGCTATATGGTTCTGTAGAATATATCACACCCAGTGCACACACTGTCTCATTTTTCTTATCTGAACATGTTTGTCACTTACAGGATTTTTCAAACAAATATTTTGGTCTAACCAACATGTAGTGTACAGTTTCAGACTGTTGAATTAGGCTCTAATTCTGGCATTAGTCTACAGCCTAAACCACTGCAGTAGATCTTTCGAAGAGTTTAGTATAATCAAAAACTGATCTAGACATTTTGGAGCAGTTAACAAGAGACAGGAGTTACAGCTGCATACAGTTCAGTATGGTACATTAATTGAAGCTAGAAGTTTTAGTATGCTTATTGCCAATTTCTCCCGAATTTTAAAACAAGCAGAGCTTCTTTGCAGATACATTATTGCTGAGGGTAATAAGGCTGTTGAGGGTAAGGGTATCCAGGTTGTTGAGGTGGCGGATATGGTGCTTGTCCAGGGGTTTGATACATAGGTGAGGGTGCATATGGCAGATTATACTGACCATACATGTATGGATTATAGCCCATTGGCATCGGCATCTGGCAGTACCTGCATGAGGGGGAAATAAAAGCATACATGAGTTGTGAAACACTGACGATGTCAATCTGCAGAAACAACTCAAAAGACATGCAGTCTCCATAAATGTTTTCTTCACATTTTCCTTTGAGTGCAGCAGGAAATGTGGTAACTTTCAAGGAGCAAACGTGAAATCAATTACAGTGTGTGGAACAGAAATACAGGTAGAAGGTCACGTAAAGGCAACTTGCTGGAACTAGATCTGATCTAAATTGATTCTCTTCTGTTTAATAACACTGTGCATATTTTAACATTTGCTGAGCCTGCTACTGAAGGAGAGAGCAGCTGCCTTCAATTCCTTGGGATAACACCAAGAAGATGGAAAAACCCATCAGAAGAAAGTACACTACTCAATCAGAATTTTCTGTATATTTTTCATCAAATTAAACATGATATTAAGATTTGAAAAATTAGATATGCCAACACTTTTGAGATAAACACCACAAACTGGTTAAGCAAGGGTTGGCAACAGTCAAGAAACCACAGTTAAGGAACTGCAGTCTTACCTTCCCTCTCCTTTAAAAAAAGCTGTAAAAACTTAAAATGAACCCTCCCACAAAAGGTACCAGCGAATGATTCCTACAAGAGTTACATGATTAAAACTGAAATTAAAAACATCTTGCCTCAAACACTAAACATATCTTCAACTGTAACAATAACTAATTTTAAAATGTCACACACTCATTTTAAAATGTCAAGAAAAAAGTGCTTTTAAATAACAGGATAATGAAAAACTGCTTAGGTACTCCCATAGCTTACCCTGGGTAACCGGGATAAGTTGGGTAAGGAGGTCCCTGTGCCTGTGAAGGTGCAGTGCTTGCTGCAGGTGCACTGGCTCCTGGAGTAGGAACAGGAGCAGCAGCAGGAGCTGCAGGTGCTCCAGCGGGTGCTGATGCAGAAGAGGAACTGCTTGTCTCAGAAATCACTGGTGGTGGTGGCCGTGCTGGTGGCTGTGGTTTAGTCCCCTAACAAGAGAAAGTGAATTAAGTTGGAGCTTCTTTATACATAAAGTCTTGGAATCAAAAGCTGTGGTTATATGATTATTAGTTGATTTTTATTTTCATTTTAAACATTCTATATTTAGTCTATACAGATAATAATGCAAAGCATCTAAAAGACAATAAGCTTTTCATTTCAAATCTATAAATTATTAACACCGATAATACACACAATACACCCCTCTGCAAAGTCCTTAATTTTGCCCTTTATTTCACTTCAACACACTTCCAACTACATCAATATATTAAGGAGTGATATACACAAATTACAGATAAGCATAGAGTTCTAACAGTATGGACTTTCTACTTTCAACCCACTAATTCCATAGCATATATTTACCACCATGGTTCTTGGTGCTGGAGTAGGAGTCGATGCCGCTGGCTTACTTCCTCCTGCTGATGTGGTCTGGTACGTAGGCAGGGGAATAGAGGGAGCACTGGGTTCCCTAGCAATGCTTTGCTGCAAATCTCTATTAAAAACAAACCAGCAAACATACAGCTTAGTTTAAGAATTGTTTGTTATGGGCTTCAGCAAGTTAAGCCAAAAAGATGCAACAGAGTAAATCTAGTATTTAAAGCATGATCGCTGACCTAGTTCAAACTAAATCTGGAGTCTAAATCACTTCCACAGAAACCATCCTCCAGCCAACCCTCTGATTAACTGTTACATTTATTTTCAATAATGTCTTTATGTTCTAACTCAATACTAGGTATAGATCACAGAATTAGCCAAAAGCCTCGTGAACAGAAAGTATAGAATTATCAGAACATTTAGCAACTTGGAAGACCCAAGGAAACCTCAAGTCTATGGAAAAAGATAACACGAAAGTTAAAAAAAAGGTGCACGTGAAAAACTACAGAATCATTTACATCTGAGTAAGTGTAACTATGAAAAAAAACCCTGGAAAAAACTTGAATGGCTCAGCATATGAGCTTTCAAGTTCTCTATTCTGTTACCTCTGGTGTTGGAATAAGCCTTGGTAAGTTACTTTTCATATCTTACTTTGGTTAAGATACTAGAAGGCTTTGGTGTCATGTTGTACTACAAGCTGCCATTTGACAGCATAATTTTACACTCAGCATGTCACGAAAATTCAAGGAAGAAGTTCTAAGAATGCAAATCTCAATGCAAAGACTCAATATTTGAGATGGGGTAGATTCTTCAGAGAGACTTAAAGAAGCACTTAAAATTTCAGACAATTTTGCATAAAAATATCAGTGAGCAGTATGTAACAGCTAGAACCTGATAGCTGGCACTCTGAAACAGAAGACAGAGGAGACTGGCGAAGGTATACAGTCTAGTTAGCAACAAAATACAGGATACTATTATAATGGCCAGTCTTCACGAGTGAAGATCCGGGGAAGGTCTTTCCACCTTCCAGCCTGCGCATTGGATTTTTTAGGTGAGACACAGTGTGCGCGGAACTGAGCCCACCCTTTAATCCTAAGGTTCATCTGCCGGGGCCAAGCGAGCTTGGACGGTGGCAGCGAGGTCCTTAGGACGTAGGTGGGTTGCCTTTAAGGGCTAACGAGCCCCACCTGCCCAGGAGTGGCCCTGACCGGGAACCGAACCCGGGTCTCAGCGGTGATAGCGCGGCGCCCTTACCACTAGACCACCAGGGGCTCCAGGATACTATTACATAGCAGCAAAAGATGAGCTCCAAAGAAGAACAAAACTGGCCACTTTTGCAGAAACTTTGTAGAAAAACCCAAGACTGAAATAAAAACTCCAAGAAAACTGTCCTCATCATTACCCTGACAGCAAAAAGGAATGATGAGGACAAAGCTAAAAATACTATCTTGATATTCTGTTACATATGTGTATTTATATCTGAAACTATTTCTTGCAGATAGTGAAATAAATATTGAACACTGTATTATACAGAAACTAAAAACCCAAAATCTAATATCTGAGATGGCACAAGGGATGTAAGGAGTAATTTGCAATGCGATTTTAAAAGACAAGACCAATGCCTTACAGAACATGTGTGCCTTTCAGAGTGAAGTATATTTTGACCACAGAGTGACCAAATGCATTAAACATGAAGCTTAAAACACTATTACAACTGATCCTCCAGTGGGCAATCATTATGGTGGAGGGGAAAAAAACCCAACACTGAAGTTCTAAATGAGAAACTCCCTAAACAAATGTATTTCCACTAAGATGCAACCCACAGTCAATATTTTTGTTGTAGTTGGGACAGAAGGGGGCAGGGAGAAGAGGCAAAACGTACATTTTATTCCCTCAAACCGTGGATTGGGTGCATTAAGAAACACATTTTGTAGAAGCACACTACACATATCCCAATTGTGATCACTGCCCTCAACTGTGACTGGGTTTCACGTAAGTGAACAGTTAACACATGAGGCAGTAAAAGATATCATGGAAAGACTCAGCTGAATGTTGTCAACACTAATCCTACAGCTTTAACACTGAACATTAACATACTCACATCATGGAGATGTGAGATATTCAGACCTAGGCCTTGGTTAGGTAGCCTACAGCTTCCAAATTATGTAAATCTACGAAGCCAAAGAGAGGCAAAAGGGTTTGGAACTAAGAATTCATTTACAAGCCCGAATGAAAAAGAACAGTTCTACAGAGGATCAAGTTAGGAAAGGTAAAAATTGAGGCCTGAGCATCCCATTCATGTCATGGTACATACACAGAACAACTGCAGTTTCACCAGTTAAAATTTTAGTAACAACTAGCTCTTTTTATAAAAGGCCATGTGCTTTGCTATGAGTAAAAGGCAAACCTTTTCAGTTATGCTTTCCTCGTAAGAGGAGAGCCCAAAAATCACACCTGAAACACACTACACTAGGTCAGATCGCATACAGGGGACAACAACAAAGTTTTCCTCATGTGAAGCACAAAATCTGCTGCTCTCCCCAGCAGTGTAGGCAACCCACATATCTAAACAATGATAAAAAACCAGACCAGGCAAGATCAGACTACAGAGCAGAAGTGGAATACCAGTGTAGAACAGTTTTCCCCCGTCACACTGGGCATGTGGAAGGCAATCATTTGATGAAGCATTTATCTAATTTCTCAAACTAAAATGACAGCAGGAGCAGGGTGCAGAAATCTTTCCTCAAAGGAAAGAATAAAATCAAATGACTAAAACATGCATGCCAAAAAAGCCCAAGAGTGAAATCATAACATGAAACAGATTCACGCTGAACTGCACACAGGAAAACCACAGCGCACTTCAAAGGAGATTTTCCTATTTATTTCTCCTGTCATTTCTCTTGTTTTTGAGGGGAGAGAAGAGCAGGGTTAGCATTAAAGCAAAGAAGAGTTGATAGCCTTACCATACCTGTTCTTCCTTCTCATTTCATCAAGTACCATAATAAACATATCCCCAAAGACTAATTTCTGATAAATACTTAACCATTACTGCAATGCTTAAAACAAAGCACTGAAATCTTACTTGAGCAGTTCATCTCTTTCAGTCTTGCGAGCAAAGACAATATCACTGCACTTGTTCTGGAATTTCAGCAGGATTTCTGTCAGCTCATTGTAAAACTAGTAAAGAAAAAAAACAAAAATCCGAGTTCAATCAACACCTTCAGATTCCATGCTAGTGTACTTCTACATATCGATCCAGTTATGAGTATTGTATTATTACAGTGCCAAGGACTTGCCATTCCAATAGTTTTCTAGTGCATTCTATTAAGCTTTTCAAAACCAAAATTAGTCAGCTGTTGCCCATCCCTGTAACATCATACTGGTTGTGGGGTTCCATGTGTGTGTGTATGTGTGTGTAAATATAAAAATAGTTTAGGACAACTACAAAAATGTATTGAAACCAGAAAAAAACTAGATCACTTCTGATGATGAATTATTTATTTTTGTAAAGGATATTTTTTTATTTTTCTTTTAATTTTACTGCTCTCAGTTCCATGCATTTCATCTGTATTGATATCTCAGAGGTTGGGGTTTTTTCCCTCTAGTGAGCTATCAATAAACCAGGAAAAATACTTAATACAGAAGCAGTAAGACACCTTCCAGAAGCCCCTCATGTATGCAGTAACAACATATAAAACACAAATTTGATAAGGTGATTGAATACCATGGGAGAGCAGATGAATCCATTTCTTAGATAAAATGCCTCATCTGGATCCTTCAACATCCTTTACTCAGCTCTAATTAACAACTTTACCTATTGCTCAGAAAAGGAACAAAGAAGCACTTCACAGCTGTTGAAACAATCAAAATTCAAGCAACTCGCTTCAGTAGTAAAATCCTCAAAAATGTACGTCTCAGCTAGCAGATCTCCAAAGTCTATTATTGGTTTTGATTTACATCTCATTGTGTATATTAAAAAAAAAACACAACCAATCCTTCCAATCCCTTAAGCATCACCATACCTTTGTGCCTTCTTTTAAATTGGCTACAAGTTCCACAAAGTTGTCATTTGCTATAGCCAAGTTCTTTAAAACTTCTTCTCTTAAATTAGATTCGTTGTTTGACTGTTTCATCTTTGAAAAATCTTGATGTGCATTCTTGAAAGAAGAAAAAAAATAAGCAATGAAAACAATGCAAGCTAGTTCCATGCAAGATTCTGTGTGTTTTATTTTCTTTTTCCTCTTATTCATTACTTCTGTTTTCGCCAATACCTGCTTTTCCTCACCTTCCATCCACTCACCGTACTTCATTACTTGTCATCTGCCAAGCACAGTGGCTATTATAATGTATATTCCAGAACTATACATATTTTAACTCACTGGCAGCAGATACCAGGTAATTATCTGTTCTGTTGTGGGCTGCCTTCAATAATTCTGAAGCTCATCCTGCAGACTCTCTTTCAGAGGCTGTACTAATTAGGCTCTCTCCTGTACTAGCCTCCATTGATATTCACAAAATCATACTGAGAGGTAGTATTTTTAACAAGTATTACTTCAAATTTGGTTGACATTGGCAAGCTATTAGAAGGACAGGGAAGAGAAAACTCACAAAAGGATCACCTACCTACATCTCATTTCTTTTGGGAAAATAAACCAAGAGGCAAACTTAAAAAGACTACTCCAGCTGCCTGAAGCAGACCAACTTGAACTCCAGGACATTCAAAAATTAAAGTAATATCCATCAAGATGTATTAAGTATACTGTGTTAAAAGATAGTCAAATATAAAATCCTTGACAAACGTGGTGCACATGGTCATTTAAAAATAATTTTTCCCTATTAAAAAAAACCTTCATCATTACTTAAGCTGCTATTGTCATTTCTCCAAGCACTAAGACTCTGTTTTGCTAGATGTTTCAGGTACCTGCCTCTAGTGTTACTGACAAATTAAGACTGAATTTATAAATAAACTTTGGGAAATTCCATTAAGTTTTACTTTGATGAGTTTTGCAGATGCTAGAAGTCAAGTACATTGTACACACCAATTAGGAATAAACCAAAATGTACTTCAGAGACCCAAAATGTCTTCTAGTAGACAGTAAGGACAGGTCTCCTATTATACCAGATAGAAGTATGAACGAAGGGTAAAGCCAAAACAAACCCAAAAACTTTTAAACACTCCAGTTAAGCTTCTTTCAAGGACAAAATCCTCTGCAGAACTGGACCAAGAAAAGGTCCAAGAGAATTTACACTGGAGCTCTGGGAGAATCTACTAAAATTTCCCATTTCTTTTCAGTGAACACAGACATTCCTGTACTTTTCAGTGATCAAGGAGTAAAGGAGTATTAATGCAATGACACACAAACAAGCAAAAGAGAGTAGAAAGCAAAGTGAGATTTCTAAAGTACTACGAAGGTAGAAGTACCATTGCTCTTAGTCTAAGAGGATGGAAAACATGCGAAGTGTTGTACCTGAATGTTTTTGAGAAGTTCTTCCTGCTTTTTTAGGGACTCTTGCACTTTCTGTGTGTAACTCCCATAAATTCTGTCCAACTCAGTCACAGAGATAGCCTCCTCATTTATAGCACCATCCTGCGCAAGTGCAGTAAGGAATTTGCTTGTCATGTCAAAATTTACAGATTTCAGATCATTTTCCAGTTGTTCTCTCTCCTTCTTAACTTCATCCAGACTGGCCAGCAAAGTTCTTAAGACATTAACAACCTAGGCAATAAAAATTGTCAGAAGTTAGCAGGTTGAGAGGAATTATTACAGAAGGATACCCTACTACTTGTTTCCATCTTGCATTCCTCACTGTCCTGCATGACTATTCGTTTATGAATGTGTTTAAGATCACAAACCAGGACAAAATACAACAAAGAAAAGATCTTCAAACATTTCTCTAAGCTATATTCTCATCTAGAGGTTTGCTTTCACTAATAGTGTTGAATTACCACAAAATGTTTAATTCTTTCCTAAGCTGATCAGATACCTTCAAACAGGATATTCTAAAATGGCAGTCAAAACCAATGACTTCAAATCACTATGAGAAAAAAAAAAATATTGCTGTAGATGAGCTGTTAATTTCTTGGAAATCAAGTTGGTGAAATCAGTTAGTACTTTAAAATACTGAGCTGTGTCTTACATTGCTTGCCTGTCCCAAGAACCCAAACACTACAGCCCACCTCCACACATAACAAAAATATTCAAAGATTGCTCCATTTATAACAGTCAACTAGTCTTACTGTCCATGGCAACTGACTCCGTTCACACTAAATGTAACAAAATATACTCAAGTGGATTTTAAACATAAAGACAACTTCCTTTCCAAATGTTAGCTACCTCCTGTACCAATTGTGACAGAAATAAGAGCAACTAAGGATCAGCTTTCACACCAATTCATGTAAGTTTATTTTGTCAGACGAGTAGCACTTCTTTTCAGAATAGAGACAAATTTCCATGCTTTACCTCATTTCCCTGTAATGTTTTTGCTGGGTTGGCAGAAGGAATGGCTGCGTTGAGTTCTGCCTCTGGCTTACACAGAAGTGCAATCGTATCCCGGTGAGACTGATAGCGCTCTTTAACCTGCCCATCTGCTTGCATAGCTTTAGTCATAATATTGTGGTAATTGGCTCCCTCTGGGGATGGGGGGGACAAAAAAGAGTGTTTTTATATCATTTCTAAACTTGTTTTTATCCAAGTCTTGCACCTGAGCAGTTTTCATGTTTCATATATTTTTATGAGCCTGTACATTTATAAAGTTATTTACTAACACTTATATACAAAACTTAAGCTTCCAAGTTATGTTTTAAATAGCGTATAAACAAGGCACCTATAGTAATTCTTCAGTGAAGCACACAAAGCAAATAAATGAACAATGCTTTGAACTACATTCCAGATTTAAATCCCTGTAACTTGGCTAAACTGAGGCAGGGGTACCAGTTCCTTATTAGCTTCAAAAAAACTACATATATTAAGCACACATAAAACATGCTACAGTGATGCTGCTGGGGGGAAAAAAAACTAAAACAAAACTCCACATTAAAGGGACAAAAACACATTGATGGGGAAAAAAAAAATAAAGATGTTAATATACAAAATAAAATACACTGAAGTATTTAAGAGGTAATTGAAACCAGATCCTTAGGACAGTCTTCTTTCACTACATATTCTTTCTGAAACTTTAGCAAGTGTGTACATGCCAAGGGTGAAAAAGAAGCAGCAAATCCCCCCCTATCACATCTCTCTACTCCAGATAATGGCACAGACTGCAATAAGAATATTTTGGCATAACCTCTCTTAAAATTATATTTGTATATTTAAAGATAATACCAGAGCACTGAAAACTACTTTAATCTACATTATAGACACCTTTAGGAGATCTCCAAAACCCAAAGCTTGAAATATGAACTTTACCTGCCCTTAAAGACTTATAGAGTTCATTGGATGGTGTTCTCTGCCAGCGCTCCTTGAATTTTGTTCGCAGGTCATTGTCTGTAGCTTCTTCTTCATCTAATAATCTCAAAGACTACAAGAATAAAATGCTACATGCATTATAAGCAGTTTTAAACACGAAATAGCTTCAAAATATGCAGCTACTGTAGAAAACAAAAAAAATATGCTTATACATCCTTTATAAATTTAATTTAACAAATAAAAAACAGGTATGAAAGGCACAAAAATCACCCAAATTTCTTTAGAATGCTTTCCTAATGCTTTCCCCCTCCCCCCCAACAATTTTAAAAGCAAAATACTTGGAAGGAAACATCCACATGTGACAGCACAGTTTTTGTACGGACTGAACATTCAAATAGCACATTTTTAAAATACTATTAACAAGCATTTGGATAACTGTGCATTTTTTTTCTATTGTCATTTAAAGAGAAACATTCAGCGGTGATGTCTTTCAAGATCGTTTTGGTGCGCTTACTTCATCTAAAATTTCTTTGTTCCTTTGCAGCAGTTCAGGCAGATCTTTGATCAGCTGATCAACAGTCTGAATTCCTCCCTGTTCAATCACAGACTTAGACTTGTTCAAAATAGACTGAGGAACAGTATCCCCAGACACATCTTCGATAGCAGCAGGGAGATTGAGGGAAGCCAACACACTGAAAAAGTCAACATGTTAAATAAACAAACTGTTTGTAGTTTTATCCTGACAACCACACTGCTATCCAAACAATCAAGCACACAGTCAATTATAATGGAAACAGAGTGTAATGTACTTTTAGACTGAAATTTCAAACTGAAAACACTACATTTATTACTAGCCTACACCTCACTAAATATATGCTTCAAAGCTCTTAAAAAAACTGAAGAAATCCTAGTCTTTTAGCACTTTAATATGGCAAACATCTTAAGTAGTAACTGTCTGGTAGATAAAAGAAACAACTGCCTTGAGTTACATTCCTATCTGTCATCCTATCCTTTTTTTTATTTTTATTTTTTTTAAAGAACAAAATTTTTTGGGGAAAAACATAATTTACTGAGGAACTGATACAATCAAGTTGACCACTGGAATATGAAAATCCTTCTACATTAATGGTACTGTAACTTCTTCTTAGTAAGTGTTGGACTTCTAAAAAATGAGGAAATATTAAAGAACAATAAATACTACTTTAATAAGGTTTCAATTTTAGCACCTATAGAAAAGTAATTCTAAATCCCCCTTCTATTGTTTAAGCTTGCCAGCCTACCACACAATAATGGAAAAAAAAAAAAATCACTGCTGTAATCTGGGTATCTGCTGCAAGGCAACCAGTGCTTATAGGCTGTTCTGTAATTCCTCTTGAGACACTTAACCAGAGGCCATACTTACCCATTTGCCAGATTTGTGGCTTCTCTCATCTGGGCTATTGACCTGTTTACCAGATCTGCCTTCCTCTGGTTATAAACACTCACAGATTGCTGCACTTGCAATGGAACCATCTTCTCAAACAGGTCTGCAATTAAAGTAGTACAAATTACACAAGCGGAACTGTGACAGTAAAAGGACACAAACATCTTCACAGCTCTTTTGTACAGGTTGTACTACTGACCTAAATAGTTTAAGATAGTCTCCCCTACTCCCCAGGATGTCTTAAAAACAAAAATCTATTTCTATAGGTCCTGAGATTTCAGTTTTTAAGACTGAATTTGCATTAGAAATAATTTAAAGGCAATATATTTAAACCAGTTGTAGGATTACAAGTCAGATTTTCCTTTAGGCTTCATATCTAATTATGTTTCTTTAAAATAAAGAAGATGAGAAAGGGAAGAATCATTTTTTCACAACTCTCCTGCCCAGTCAACAAACTGAAATTTTTCAACTTTACAGAAGACCAGCAACTAGGTTAGTTAATACTGTACAGTCTGATACTGTTCCTTCTTAAATTCAGAAAGTTTGGTTTAATATAGGAAATACAACTGCTGAGAAAATCTGAGAAATATCTTGAAGAGAATTCTACATTTCAGGTAATTTTCAACTTGTGCTTTATTATACTTATCATCAAGAAAAAAAACAAGAAACAGGAGAAGACAAGCAGCAATTCCAAAAACACTGCTGAACACATAATACAATTCAAAAATTAAATGTTTATTTTTTCACATGACACATGAACTTTGGTGGTCACATGTTTCACAAGGTAAAAATTAATCCATGTAGTCCACACACTTCACTTACCAGTGAATTTCTGACTCAGGGGTACAACAACTGGAGTAGACTTCACAAGACTGGCTTTTCCAATGGACTCCAAATCTTTCAGGTCAGGAACTCGGTCATGGTAAATGAAGTCATTGTCTTTTTTAGCAGCTGCAAGTGCACGGTTGATTTTGTCAACCAGATCTTTAACGTTTATATATTCATCATAGCGAGATGCCACTGTTTTCACCAAGTCTGCTGCATGCTAAAAAAAAATTAAAATACAGTAAAAATAATAACTTTTCTTTCTCCCTTTCATATGTACTTAAGAAAATAGATGAGATTCCCAGTTAGCCAAGTAGCTACTATCAACACATACAATCAACACTATTATTTCCTTTAGAAAACATTCTCTCCTCTTACGTATCAAAAAGTAAAAATATTTTAGTCATTAAAATAGCTCCTTAGGAAAAAACAAACAAATAAAAAAAAGCAACCAGTAACTCACAATAGCCTCACTATGACTCCCCAAAATCCAAAGTAAGTGCTCCTAAGTTAAAGGCAATAATACCTCAAACGCCCGTTCACAAAAAAACTAAATGTCATCAAATCATTTCCATGTTGTTTCATAAAACCCTTGCTTGCTTCTGCAAAGACTGCAAATTGTTTCTCAATTTCAGCTCACATTCACAGAGGAAGAGGCCAGAATCCTGCTTTTCACATCTGCCACTACACTCAGCTCAGAAGCTACAGAAGGTCTGCTGTCTATTCAGTCCTGTCCGCTCAGCCAACCTGGTTTTCCTTCACATCTGTGTTTTGAATGTGCAAAACCAAAACACTAAGAAGCAATTCAGTTGAGATTTGCATAAACTCACAATTCAGAAAGTCAGGTTTCTTGATATTGTGAAGTGGAACCTGTGCTATATTAGAAGTGAAGTGTATTTGAAGTTTGCACAGATTTTTCGATACTTTCCATTATGCCATAGGACACACGACAGTAGTTCTGGTTTGATACAATGCTATAGTCTAACTAGCATTTGCTAGAAACAAAATGAGAGGAGTACAAACAGGATTAAAGCATATATTCAAAAGATATTACACTATTAGAGAGTGTATAAAGGAGGGCCACTCAATGATCCTGATGGGTCCCTTCCAACTCAGCATATTCTATGACTCTATACATACTTTAATTTGAAAGAATTTACATTCATCTCTCCCCCACCTCTCAATTGTTATTCCACCTTTTAAAATGGGAAATAAAAAGAGATTAGTTTACAGTAATTGAATTTTTCAAAAACTCAACAAAAAGGGTACTAAACCTCTAACATAGATTAGTTACGGAAGCAGGATTTTAATCACTGTGGAGAACAGGATATAATAACTTCTAGCTTACTAACTGTATTAAATAAGACAACACTTGTGTTTTAACTTGTGACTACATGCTGTTCATGAAGCAGTCCTAAAATAAGTAATAAGGGAGTATTTTCCCTCAGGTTTCACTAAAAACAAACAAACAAGAAAAAAACCCCACACCTTTACTACTCATTCTTACTGATTCTACAAATCAGTCGAAGTGGCACTTCATGTATTTATTTTCTCAAGGTTTAGGAGACTTGAAGAAAGGAGTTAATTTTAACCATTTTTCCTCTATTGTGCTTAAAACATGAGAAGACCTTACTCACTACAACATGTATATCTGAGTCCCTCTAGAAACCAGATATAGAGGAAAAAACGATTAAGAATAAAAACAGAACTGTTGGTGTGCTTTTCAAAAAATATTCAGATTTAAATCAGAATTGCAGCAAAGGAGTTTAATGTACAGACCAGACAGAATTTTATTATTTGGGGAATTTGTTTTACTAACATTAATTAGGAAATTTATTAACAATCTGTTGTATTAGCTATACTGAGATAAGAAGCCTAAGCAAACGTAAAGATATAGACTTAACAAGTCAAGCACTATCAAACTGTCCAAAAATCATTAAAATACATCTTTATAAAAGCTACAGAGATACCTCTCCTCTATGCAGCTGCTAATAATTTGATTCATGTGATAAACATGCTCTGCAACTTCTGAATATGTTTCCTTCTTAGTTAACTGAATTTTAGAATTCTGAGTTAGCTTTTCAGGATTTTAAGTTTTTCTATATTTTTCAGAGAAGAAAGCAAGCTACTCACCTGTAACCTCCCAATTTCTTCACCAAATTTCTTCTGCTGCTTTGCCAGAATAGACTGATGATACTCTGCATTGGCCTGCATAATGCAGTGCTTTGCAGCCAGAACAGGAAACACCTCCTGGAAATAGAAATACTGACCAGGGGAAAGTCCAACCATATTAACCACCACAGACAACATGGGATGCAGGAAGAAAAAGGAAGAAGAAAAGGAAATTAGAATCACCCAATTAATGGTTTAGATAGGTTAAAACATTAGAGGTAAATGTCAGAGACAGTGTGACTTTGCATGGATTGAATATTTTTTTTATCCACTGTTGCAGAACTCTTACTGTCCTTTACTGTAGATGAACTACAATTTAAATTCAAGCCACGAAGTCACAACATTTACTTTAGAGATTAGAAACGCATGCATGTATTAGAAAGGACAGCTGCAAGAACACACCCAAATAACCCCAAGACAAAGCCAAGACAGTGCTCTTAAGAAATGGAGGTGGGTAGAAAGATAGGTCCTCTGGGTTATTTTTTTTCATTTTTTTTTTGTTTTTAATCAAACAGATTAATTACAGTTAAAACAGCAGCAGGCCTTACCGAGAAAGTAACTCTACAGTTATGAAAGGAAAGAACAATTAAAGAGGACCAAAAACTATTGACATGGACGGCAATTTAAAAGTCATTTTTAGACTTCTATATAAATGCACTTATCTTTGCAGGAGTACCAACCAAGACATGAAGAAAACATTATGCAGCAGTTCAGAGTACAGACAAGGTGTTAGATCAAGGATTTGGCCTTATGGTTTTATTTCTTAAATCAAGGAGCACTGGAAAACCAGACTGATGTTTTCCCCCAGAGATGAAAAAAATAAAGTTAAAAAAGGGTAAATTTGGAAGACAAAGCTGTCTGGGAGGCCTTGCCACTGGAGTTCGACACATTAAATCAACCTCTAAGTCACACTCCTAAAAATGTAATTGTTCTCAAAGCTGGTGTTAACCAGCAAACCTTATGTTCTTTGAAATAATCAATTGAGAGATTACTTTGCAACTGGAACAGGGAGTAGATCTACAGCTTAGAAAGGTACACAACAACAAAAGATAAAGCAAAGGCCTCACTGCCTCTCAGAAATCATCATAAACATAATACCTAAGTGAGAAATACTCTAAGAGCATGAAAAAGAGATCTTTCTACCTCTTCCAAAATCAACAGCATTCAAACAAACAGTCAAGACTAAATGGGATGATTTACAAGTATCAAGATTGTTTTGGGGTGGAGAAAGAGGAGGAGGCAGGTAGAAGGACAGAAGACACACACTGACTTCCAGTCATGTTTTTCACTAGCAGGTACGTGAACAGCACCATTGTATTCATGCTGGACTCAACATGAGAGCAATTTTCACATGAAAACATAGAGACTAGAAGCCAATTAAGCCTCAATAGAAAATGTTAGTTTGAAAACAGATTTAGTAAGGCATTAAGTTCTAAGAATGCATCCCTAAATACCACTATAAACATTTCAAGTTCACTTTAATGAAATGTGTTACAAATAAACACACTTCATATAATAATATTTTACTTATTTAAAAAAACCACACTTTTACCCCCTATATTTTTCAGTTTTTTCGAATTGTGGGTTCATTTTCCTTAAATGTGCCAATATGTCAGCTCTTCTTGAGGATATATTTTAAGTGTATTTCATCGAGCACATTGTAAACAATAACAGTTTTTCACAGTAACAATGAGTTACTAACCTTGGGCAAAGTATCTTTATATTGACACTGTTTGTAAGCATCACCATAATAATCTGCAGCTTGATTTGCTAGTTTAGCTATGATACCATCTTTCATTTTATCTGCGGGGAGGAGGAGAAAAAAAAGAAAAGAACAATTAAAGATCATCATCGGTTTTTACAACTGAACAGGTGACTAGTTCATCTTCAAACAGCAGCAACTGCATTTTCAGGGTATAGCTTTACATCAAGCTCAAAGGTAGGATCCCATTCTTCTCTCTTGACATCCAGCAGCAGTTTCCAGAATTTCTACTTCAATCATGACACTGAAGGTTCAGTCAGTTGTACCAGAAATCTTTTGGCAGCTGCTGGCATTTATGCAGAATTAAGAGAGATACTTTACCCCAAACCAATGGTAAGCTGCCAATAAAAGATACAACAATTCCACTCTGAACTCTGGCAGCTTGTTCCAAGCCCTTTCTTGTGCCAGCCAAAGTCAATGAATTTACCTGAAATCTAGTAAGCAAAATATATCTTATTTTCAGTAGGATCTGTTCCTAACCCAGTTCCGTGTCAGGACTCACAAAAACTATAACAGAGGAGAAGGGACAGGTCCTTTCCATTGCACTCCACATCACTGTCAGCTTCCAGCGAATATAGGAACACCATTCCAAGACATAAATAACCATTAACTGTTAAAATAGGAACAATTCTGCAATAATCGTTATCTTCCTTTTTACAAAGGTGATAACCTCTGGCCTGCACTAGCAATTCAACCTTCCAAAAGAAGGCAGGCAATCAGTGCAAACACCGGCTGTCCACTCTAAACAGCTGCCCTTACAAACAAGCATCCCCTGACTCAGGTGATTCTTAGGTACTGACAGATTGATAAGCATGAGTGGGGAATATGGGAAGATTAGGGATTCTGCAGAGTATGCTTGACTGCCAAAATTAAACCAAAATAATTCCTAAGTGGTCTGTTCATACCAGCATATTCACACATCTATTTACAATGTTTCAGGCACAAGCTATGAAATAATATATTTACCTTCTGTGAAGGAAGTATGTTTAAGGTATGCCAGAAAGATCTTTTCACTGTGAAGAAGATTTAGATGATAAACTACAACGAAGGATCTCATGATATCTATCAACTTATTTAGTTGATATCTATCAACTAGTCTTTGCTAGAATGTTTCTGTCTGGTGCACTAAACATGTAATAAAACCAAAAAAATCTAAAATCTACAAAAAATTTACACAAAATCTAAAAAACCTGTCCTTCTAGCCCCACCAAGTGTGCAGTAGTTGCATCTTCCTTCATACAGCTTGTGCATTAAAAAAAAATAAAAAATACTGGCACATTAACAACATTTCCATTAACAAAGGAAATGTTAGAGGAGACTCATTTGTCCACGCAGACAGCTCAAAACATATCTTTCACCACCCAAAAGGAAAAAACTATCCATTCCAACTCTTCACTTTAGTTTTCACTCATGTATCTTTAAAATATTGCAGCTACAATGCAAGCCTTGAAATAGAACAGCAAACACGTGCAGAACTTAAAAGACATTTAAAGAAAACATGAAGAAAGGCTCAGAAATTAAAAAGACAATCTGTACTCATGGAGGGGAGTTAGATTTGACTGACCTATTTGGCTTTTGCCCAACACATCTTCTTTCTTTTAACTTGTAAATAAATTCAGTTCTATCAGAAATACCATTATAGCTCATAAGCTGATAAATGGACTGTCTCATGTGAGAGAAAAATCAGAGAATTCCAAGTAAGGTAAACAGTCAATGCAGCAAGAAGCTAAATTTCAGTTTTGAGATCAAACTTGGATTTCCACTTGAAAAGTAGGTTTTTGAAGGTAATCAAGTTGTCAAACACAATTCTTCACAAAATGTCTCTCCCCCCCCGGAAAAAGAACCTCTATATCTGGCAAAATCTACAGCTTTCATAGTCAGATGATTATTAACCTTTCTGTCCTTCAAGCACTGTCAGACTCGTGATCTTCAGTTCACCGGGCACACCTGGTGTTTGGATTAGACTTGCCTTGTCTTTTTCATGTTTTGGAAAAGAAGAAATCAAGACGGTGACAGAAAAATCTATCTATCATGCAAAATGAGGGAAGCACTTGCTCTGTCCTGAAGGAAAAGTTTCAGATATTTGTTATACAAATTTTATTTTAGAGCAGAGACTAAAATACCTCCAGCAACATGATAAAGAACATAGACATAATTTATCATTTGGCTGAAGGATAACAGTTTCTTGTTGAGATTCTCTAAAGGCAGTAAGGCTACAAGAATTTTAGAGATCTTCCCTGTGAAGACAAGAAACATCCCAGTTAAAATAACCCATTGTCTTCCTCCTCTGTATTCCAAATAATGTGGGGAGAGAGAGCCATTTGTGGATATGACCTTAGTTCTACTTTTACAGATCTGTAAATTCTAGATGCACAACTTCTTCTAAATACTTTAAAGCGTAAGTTCCCTAATAGTTGTATTAAAATATCCAGACTCTGAAGGAGTATTTTACAATCAACCTTTAACAATTAGGGAAATAATTTTTTTGTTGTGCTTGCAGAATTTCCCTTTCCAAAATGAAATGGACATTCTAAAAGTCAGACTTGGTCAAAGAGTTCCCCTGTTAAAAGTAGGAGCAAACAAACAGAATTTTTTCCCTCAAACTCCTAGGAAATTTCCTTTGTTTCCTAGCACACTCATTCCTTTCTAAGTTCTCATGAAATCACTCCCCAGATGAGGAAGGGAGTACTTGCAAAACTCCTTATGCATAATTTCTAGTACTCTCAATTCTTTAGGACAATATCTTTTCTTCTCAAGGGGGGAATGGCAAAAAATATAATCCAGCAAAATCCTGTGTAAAGATGAAGACTAATGGTTTGGGGCAAAAAAAACAGATGGGAAAACTGCATTGTCAGGTGAACTTCAGAAAAATTCTTAAGAAGCATCTGTCATTTGTGTTTCATGGCCTGCAAGGAGCAGTGGGAGAATCAGTAAAGGCAAAACCAAAAAATTCTGAAAGGCCCTTTATACACTCTTAATAGTGCAAGTTGTAATATGAACTTAAATATACAAGTCAAAAACTAAAATATACCTCTTGTTGCTTTCAAAAAAAAGACTTCTTGCGCTTGAGCCAACATAATAAGACTGAGAGTCCCAGCTGTGTCTGGAGAGATGTCCACTGTAGGTTCTCGATTCAAGGCTGACAAAACTGTGTCTTTAATGTGTTGAAAAGCACCACTCGCAAACTAAGTAAAACAAAATAATACATTACCATTCAGATTTTTCAGATTTTCTCTCTTACAAGTATAATACATATAAAAATACAAAAAAAATTCTTTGGTATATGGTCTCCCATTTATTGTTTAGCCACTAAAACCAATTCCTGGTGACCTCTTGTTCTTGGAGCCATTCTCACTGAGACACTTATCATGACAAGGTATAAGTAAAGGTATATTGATTACACCCAATGACATAAAAATATGGAAATTCTAATGCATTCCATAAAGAAGAGATTATTACTATATAACTTGTTAAAACTTCAACTTACACTAGTTAAAACTATTAAATCTTAAGCTGAAGGTTATTAGTTATCAACATGTTTGAGGGAAGGAGTATGGGGAACAGCACAGAATTATACCCTCCAAATCTGGTAAATAAATATGAGACAAGACCAGGTACATAACCAATCCAACTTTGCAACTAAGAGCAGGAAAATACATACATATATATATATTTTTTATGCATGTGTATATATAGTTTTAAAATAGAGAGATACTTATTTGATGTTCTAAGATTACTTGTTCTGAATGCATAAGCAGAAGCAGGGTGCCTCTCTACCTGATAATGCTTAGCTGCAGCTTTTAGTCCTTCATCGTTTTCCAGATTCTGTTCTGCTGCAATCTGGCTTGCCAATGCTCCACAGTTGAACAAAACACAGGTCTTTTCATACCCCAAACTTGCCAGAGCTGCAAACAAGACAGACAGTTACCCAGACTGTTGAAAAAATATCCTACAGCTGAGGCCAACACTACAATTATCAACAGTTTCAAGCAAAAACAAACAAAACCCCAATCATACTGAACTTTTAAAGTCAAAGTCAAATTCTGAAGGCTTTACACAGTCTAATTCAGTACTTCCACAAAATGTTTCCATGCGAGGAACTACAGAAAGCAGCCTAAAGCATGAAAGCAATAGCATGAACATCTACATTAAATAATTTCCAAGTCCTTATAAATACAGTGCAGTTTTTTGGATCTTGAAGCATTACTGTGAGATAATCTGAAATATGAACTTCCACTTAATCACTTTGTAATAACTGTACAATTACAAAAACTTTTATTTTTAGATAGGCCTGTCTTCCTATTTATTGAAATGTAAGGAATTTTTCATTCTCAAAGCTATCGTTTTAGACTGAAAATTCTGACAAATATCTTCATTATGCATGTATTGAAACAGTTAAGGATTTACTTAATTAAAACTTGAGCTCACTAAACAGCAGTGTAGCCTGTCCAGATGCATCTCCTGCAGTACTTCATAGCCCCAAAGGATGGAGCCCACACTTCTAGAACTAGAAATACCTGAACAGGAACCATTTTGAACATATTCATTGCTTTCAAAAGCTTATTTGCTATATGCAAGTGCTGGAAAAACCAAACACTGCAGATATTGGTCTCCTACTGGTGTTAAAAAGTGTGCAGACACTACTCTTGGAGAATACAGAAGAGACAACTAGTGAATTTTCAATTTCACAGACCCAGGTACAGTTGTCCTTAAAACATGAAGGTACTAAAGATGCATATTTGTTTCATTTCACTAACATCCAGCCTCTTTATACAGCTACAAATTAATTTAACACATCTCTGAAGTTTCTACATTAGTGCTCCCTGACCTGCATGCAACTTTCAGACAAGCAGGCATAAATCTGACATGCCATTTTTCCCATTTTGTTTCCCTGAGCGGAGTTGCACAGTCACTGTATCTCATGAAGATAACAGTCATTTATCTAGCTAATGTCTCTTCTGAAATTTATTTTTCCAGAATTTTTCTAAAAAGAAGATCTTTTAAACTTAAATAACACTAAAAATACAAGAAAGGAAAGAAAATACGGCTTTAAAGTTTCTGAAGTACAAAATTACTTTAAATGCAGAATTACTTCACACTCTGGACTGCACCTCAAGTGTGATTTACTACAGTGAGAACAGCTGTTTACCAATACAGATTTTCCACAGACTCATCTGTTTATAGCACTACCTATTAACTTAGTCGACATATTTCATATTACTTGCCATGCTGTGAACTCAGTCACTTCCCAAGCAGTCACAGTATCTGTCAGCTACTGTGATACAGACTTGGGATTCAGGATTCAGGGGAAGGTGGGAAGCAAAGAGTTCACCACCACAGCAAGAACCAGAAGTCTCAAGTCACGCCCCTGGATCTTGTTTCCATGGAAGTCAAAGGAGTTTTACACTGAATTTCTACCTGGAGACAGGACCACCTCCTCTTAGAAGTCAAGAGGAATTTTGCTCCCTCTGTAACTGAAAGCTTTGCTTTACACAGGGAAACCTCACTGCTAATTCTGATCTCAAATAGGTACACACATGGTGTAGCTAATCTGGATAAACTGTGATACATCACTGTAAAGATATATAATAAAAGACTCCTTCTGTTAATGTCTTTTCACCAAGATCTCCTTTAAAGTTTCAAAATAAAATTTATTCCATTGCCTGTTACTTGAGGATTACTCACAGCTCAGTCAAGAATTTCTTTGATATTTCACATGGACTGCTACCTGAGTCTCTGGTCATCTGCCTCACAGATTATTTAGACTAGCATATAATTAACCTGCAGACAAGCAAGCTTTCTCAAGATGCTGTGATGTCATATTCACTCAAATTCTCAGGGTAATCATCACCATTATGATTACTGTTTTTTTTTCCTCACAGTTATTATAAATCTTTAGTGATTCACAGATTATGTTTAAGTCATAACTAAATATTCTGAACTTTACTATGAAACAGGTTCCATCCTCATTAAATGTTAGACCCAAAGAAGACAGGATGAACCAAATTCTGAGAAAAAACCCACAGCATCTTCATGAAGGTCTCCAATTATCCCGAAGAGCATCTTAGAACAGTTAGAAAAGAAAGTAAGGACTTGTGTATGCACAGGAATGTGGTGTATTGATACTCGTATAGTTCACAAAGGCACAACTTCAGCAGGTGAATGCAGAACACGGAAAACTGCAAAGACTTTCAGTGGTTGTTAACAGAGAACTATAGAAAGGATGCAAGACTTCAAAAATAAAAACAGGGTAAGCACTCTAGCATTTTTTTCAGGCTTTGTCTAGAACTTCAAAATTGCACTGGTCATCTTATAATGTTAGTCAGGATGAACACTTAGGTATAAATAGAAATACTAAAGAATGTTGATACATGACTGAACAGCTCCTCATTCAACTCAAAATGATTTAGTCTTACTTCCCTATCAGCAAGTGTCCCAAATCCATTTAATGATCCTGAATTTGCAGTGCAGAATTGTTCCTATACGACTAAAACAAATAAAACTCCTTAAGTTTGCAGGAAACAAATATAATTCTTTTTTCTTTCCAAGTTTTCAAATACATATGAAAATATTTTTAAAAGAAGTGATAAAAGAATAATTTCAGATGCACGGGCAAATCCTTCTATTCTCTTGAACAAAATCTGATGTCAAGGCTGGGTTAGTGAAGCCAGCTACCAACACTCCTTTTTGAAGGGGACTCACTCACTCACAAGCACATTTCATAATGTTCTTACTAATTTAGACCAATAAAATCTGGATTACTGAAAACTTACTACTGAATCTTGTTACCATGAACAATTTTGATTAATACCAATTGGGGTTGTTCCTAGAAAAAGTCTGAGAAGCAGACAGTACAACTACTACCAGACTGCAGATCTAATTGTGCCTCTGGGAATCTAACATTAAATTTCAATTTTATAATAATTCTTTGGATGGTGCCTATTTGTTCATTGCCAGCGTTGAAGTGATTAACTCATTACTAATACAGTTGAAGGGGAGGGGAGTGTTTGGGTGGTTTGTGTGGACACCTGGCGCTCAGCCAAGGTCAAACCACTACATCATTTAAAAGCTATGTTGAAAATACTAGAAAGACAATTAATTCAACTATATAAAAATATTCTCCAAAAGTTTAGTATCTTTAATACTTGAGTTTTCAATACATTCACATACCCAATTTGGCAGATCCTCCAAAAAGTGATCCTTTATCAAAAGCATCTTTCCACGTAAATGTTACACAGATCTGAAAGTTGAGAAAAAGAAAGATCTTTACCTCTAAAATCAAATATAAAATCTCCTTAAAATATCCCAAATTTATGTACTTAGCCCTTACATTCGAATTGTATAAAACTTTTCATTCACTTGTGGTGTTACAAACATTCTGGAAGTTTTAGAAAAATCAAGAGTTATTCAAAACAAAAATTAGTGTATCTCTTTTCCTTCCTCCTAGTTTGCTCAAAACATTTCAAGTAGACAAGACAGAAATTCTCAGAATTATCTTTCAGCTCTGTTCACATTCTGAGCAACAGACAAATTTGTTTCCAAACCAAGACATTCCTTTCCCAGTAAGTCTGATGGTTGGGTGTAGTCCCAGTTTTAAGGAAACTGCCCAATCAGGCATTTTCCACTGTTCCAAATTACTAGACTATTTGGTTCTGTTTTGTAATACCAAAATCCACTCATTGTTACGAGTGAATTCAATAGCAACATTATCAGGAAATGCCCTCAGAAAAGAGAATAAAAGAGTGTCTATTATTTATACTTCCAGCACATATTCCACAGACAATGCAAACTCTTATAGAAACTGCTTTCAAGTTCCACAATTTGATTCCTTATTCAGCTGATCAATTAGTTGTAGGCAACTGGTATCAAACCAGAAAAGACAGCAAAAATCCTCAGTTTAAAGTGCTGGGTAAGAATTACTTCAGAAGCTACAGGGTTCTGTTTGATAATATATTTTTCCTCTAGCAGCAATGCTTAGTGGAGGAAGTTCTGGTCTGCAGCTGTTCATTGCTGCTTCCACTGACTACTTCTTCCCTTGAATGGAACAGTTTACAGATACAGCAGATCTTGCTCTCTAAGTTTTCCAGTTTTCTTTATCCCAGGGTTTGCAGATCATCATATCAAAACATTTGCACAATGAAAACCAAAGTGCTGTTCTTGGCTACAAGTGACTGCAGCTACACGCAAAACTCCTGTGGAAGTCAGAAGGGCATTAAAATTATTCCCTTACTTATAACCTGTAAGACAGAAATTTTTCCTTTTAATCATAGTATTACCATTTAATTACGACTTAATGCAGAAAGAAATATAAATTCTGTTATATTTCTAAACACACCCAAAGAAAACCCACATCTTTTTCCACCAAAATACAGGAGCCTACAGATCTATTCATTTCCATCTGAGGAAGGCTTCAGTAGGCAGAGGTTCAGCTGAATTTCTCTGTAGATTCAGGATTCTAAAAAAATGTGGTAGAAAAAAAACCCTCAAACCCTAATGAACACCATACCTATATAAAAACTATGTCATTTGTAGATACAGAGGCAGAAATACAGTGGTAAGCTCTTACTTGGTTTATTATGTTAGGTGTTGTGAATGAAACATCTGTGCTTCAAAAACCAAAGATCATATTCCATCCCATAGAAATTATGTTTTAAAAAGCCTTTAGAACATAGTATGAAATAGACTTCTGGAAAAACAGGAATCAGCACAGCATAACTCTTTCCAACCTAGACCACGGTGATCACTAGCCAAAAATCAAAATGTTTCTGTAAAACAAAGGCAATTATGGCCACTAAAGGGGAAGTTTCAGCACAGATTATATGCAAGCACCAGCTAGAAAATAAACAGAGATTAGGAAAATAAGGCTCAAAGAGATTAAATGCCTTGTTTGAGAGAAATACCCTTTAGAGGATTAGGTACAGGCTTGGAAGTCATACATCATGGGTGCCATGATTCAGTTTATGGGTTTCGTAAGTCTTCTTACCTGATTTTCAGAGAATGGAAACTTTGGTTCAATTGAACACAGCTGATCATAATATCTATTGAAAAAGAAAGAAACAACTATTAGATAAATCAAATTAATAGTTTTGTTTCTTAAGCTGGCATGTAGGGTAAGGAAAAGGGCACAAAAATTCTACACACAAGTTGTGAAGCTCATTTGTAACTATGGAGGATTTGCAGGACAGACAGAATTTCTGCCTAAAGGGATTTTTTCAGCAGAGGAACAAGTTCAGCAGGAGGTAGTCTTTCACAGATAATGTGGAAACCCTGTCTTACTTCAGTGTAAAAGAGTATCACAGGCAAAGCTGCGACAAAACTGACCCATCCACCTGATGGAAGGTGGATTAGAAGAGAGTATCATGCATAGGAGTTCCTATATTCACACAGGGACACAAAGAGTACTTTAAGCCATGCTACAAAAGTTAATTGCATACAGCACTTGACCTAATATTAACATGCTACACCATACTCTCTTGATCTGAGCATTATAACCCACTCCACTACAAGTTCTGGTTCAAACGTTTCAACTTCAATGCCTTTGAAATAAATAGATGCCATTTGTCTTGCAGAGCACCAACTGTAGAGCCTGAACCTTGATAAAATTCTTTAGTTCTAAACCTAGTTTTCATTAGAGTATATTCTAGCACTCATGGTGAATCAAAACCAAAAGTTTCTCTGTGCCAATATTTTGTCTGCTCACAGTGGAAGATGAAAGAATGCCAGAAAGATAATACAGCAAATATAGCACAGTCCCTCACACAATCTATCCAGGGAACAGTAAGCAATTCAAACTTTTCCAGAGTGGTACCCTACACCTGCACCAATTGTTAAACATGACAGGCTGGATGCAGAAAGCAAAACCTTTAAACAGCCAGTTGCTAAGAACACATAATACATGAAACCTGGTTCCTCATACTCTTCCTGTAGCATGTGCCATATGGGCACACACTCAACATTATATTGGTCAGGGTTTTTTAAAGAATTTATATTCCCAATATACAAAACACCTTTCAGTGATGACTTTCATGGTCTGTAAAACAGGATTAATATTGTCCCCATTTCCTCACATTATTAAATATTGATTACTACCAACATAGGCACGAAGCACGTGCACAAGACATATGCTGTGCAGGCAATAAATGTTTAAAATCTCAAGAAGCATTTTCAAAACTCATATGCAACAATAAAAATAGGTTTATTATATTTTTCAGTTAATCATATCTGCTAGTGTATATAACACTACAGGTTTCTGAGTTCAACAGAGTCACTGCAATTTAAGACACAATATACTAAGCCATATCAATACACTAAGCCATACCAAAAGCTACAATAATCTGCAGCAGTAACCCAACAGGATCTCCACTAATAACCTTGTAGGGTTACAGGGAAAAGAAGAAAGGAAAACAAAGTCTGCAGATATCTGCTGTGACAGCAGTTTAAACAAGATTAAACAATTTATCAAGTGTATGTGAAAGGTAGAGTTAACAGTAATAACAGCCACTGAAGATCACTGCAACCACTATATTTAAATATACTTTCTTCATTGCCTTCATCTGGTCTCAACACAGTTGTTTTCACATAGTATCACAAAGAAAAGGAGACTTTTCATGCTGTCTCATCCTGCCTCAATTGAATTTGTTAACCAAAAGCCACCACTAAAGCCAAGCTGTCTTCCCACATTCCATGATTACACTGTCCTCATCTGCCATGAGGACAGAGTCAAGCAGCAGAGCCTGTCAAATGTCCTTGTGAAGCCGGGTGTGCCCAAGCCTGAGCCGCCTGCAAACAGACTATTCTTTGTATGTCAACACAACCACGGAGAAAATAACCCAAAGAGGTGTATGCTCCTCCTAAACATGCACATGGCTGCATTTAGCATCACTGAATACCAATAACATGGGGCTTTTCTTCTGATCGTTTTAAACAAGTTCAGAATTTACATTACTATTTTAAGTGATGTCACTTCTTTTTATTAGAGAACTTGAAACTCTTCTCAAAATTTAAGAGCTCTTTAAAGCTCTGCACACACACAAAAAAAACCCAGAAGACAAACATGTGAAGTTTTCTAGTTTTATAAGTGGTATAAATATAACGGTATAAACATATAAAATGGTAAATGAAAATGTTAACCACAGGACAGTGTAAAACTAGCAGTACCAAGAAAATAACTACAGGAGGAAAGACCATTTGATGCACAAGTCAGTTACACATTGAAAGACGAGGGTAAACACAAAGGTGTAATTTAAAACTAAATTTATACTAATCTAACTATCAAAACACAAAGAACACAAGGCACAACACAGTTGAGTGTTGTTTGGCTGTACCAGTGATAAACCAGAGCTACAGCAGGGGGGGCAACACAGATCTGATGCTCAGAGTACAACAATCTCTCATCAAAACAGGCATTACACACTTCTAAATGCTAGTAAAAAACAGACATCAAATGAGTTGGAAGTCAAGATTTAAAATCAGAATTTAATTAATATATGTATTGCATTAAGAAACTCAAATTCTCTTCCTCTTCCGAACAATCATAAAAAAAAATCCCCTTTAAATGATCGTGAGAGACAAAAGATCTGTCTTTGCCCTTCAAGATAAGAACCAGAGTCCCGAACTCACAGCTGGAAATCACAACTGCAACTTTCAGCCCTCAGAAAATTTGAGCAATCAAAATAAAACCATGCACTACCCCTCCCACTCCCCCTTTCTTTTAAAAAAAAAAAAACAAAAACAAAACTGCAGGAGTTGTTAGCAAAATTAAACCACTTAAAGTCATACCCCCACCCCATGTCTCCAGAAAAAGGAAATTAAGTCCAGGCTAGATTTAATATTAGAGGAAGCAAGGAATCCCTCGAAGCTATAATTATACTCAGAAGGAAAAAAAAGAAAAGCACCACTAAATCAAATCTGCTGTGACAGAATTTAAGGAGAAACATCTGTACCAAGCACACCTACGTCACCTTGAGAGCGCTCAGATTCTGACAGAACAAAGAAAGCTTGGAAGCAGGCTGAGGTCTGTCCCAGTTTCACTATGCCCCTTTTCACTGGGTATCTCAAACACTTCTCCAAAGACAAGCCTTTGCATTCAGCAGCTGAACAACAGCACACCACTCACTTTTAAAGTTTTACTGGACAGTGCTTGTCTAGGAAATGTGGCTGCAACGGAGTTAATTTCTTCCACAAAAGAAAAAAAAATCTGTAGCGACTACTCAGCAAAACAAGGCTTCTAAAAATTACAAAACCAAGGGCAAATCCTAGATTAGTTAGCAGAAGCTTAAGCTCTCATTTCTTAAGAGTTACATAGTCTACAATGCTCTACTAGGTATTAGGGTCTATAAAAAGCCTCCAAAAAGTAAATATATGCAAAGGGTATCCATGTTTTAATTAGTTTTTCCAACCTTACTTTGCTAACAAACCAGTTTTAAACTCCAATGAAAAAGCTTGTTAAAGTTGTTATTTAAACATAAGACTGACTACCACTCTTAAATAGTAATAGGAAAATATGAGAAGTTGGAAAGGTGAGGACATTTTCAGATGAAACACAAGGCACTCAAGCACTTCTGTTCTTTGTATCATAAACTCAGATACTTCAAATTTCTGAATGTGCAGACGGTTTGACTTCTTAAAGCCACTGTGCCTTGCAGAATAATTAACAGAATACATGTCAGAATAGTCTTAACAGAGTAAGAGCAAACTTATTTTCCAGCATATAAATATATGAATATAAATGGTCAGACAGGGACAAGCCACCCATAACTTGTTAAGAAATAAGGGAAAACATATATCGGATTGTTTTATTTTCTCTAACTTACAATCAGTTCAGACCTTCATCTTATCTCACTTCCACTACAAAATAAACAAATATTTTCAAGCAACACAACTTAAAATGCAGATGATATCCCTTCTGCAAGGAAGGGATATCACTTCATATTTATACTGGTGCAGAGCCACATTCAACAGCTCCTGACTACTGCAACAGCATCTGGGACAGCTAAATACATCTGCCAGTCACTGCTGACCAGCAGAGACCAGCAGATCACTGCATATGGAACTGACTCAAAACTGGTAATTATGAAATTGCAAGTGGCTTCCTTTCATTATTCAGAGAGAAAACCTGAGGTGAAGTTGCATATTATGGATAACTTTATTCAATAATCTGCTGGCAACAAAAGAGGGAGGTCCTGCTCAGACCCTTGGCTTCCAGCAACACTACTTCTATTTATTTTGCACCAGCTCTGATGTTCATCTGACCTTCCACTGAACTCATTCAAGTTGCTCAGAATGCCATGTACACATTTTGCCTTCCAGAAAAACCATAAGGACAAGAACTGAAAAGAGGGCTGCCTTCTTTCGGTCATGCAAACAACTGCTAAATAGGATGAAATGATAAATGTGGCTGAGCCAAATAGGGACTTCAGATAGAAGCTAAGGGCAATCCTGACTGGCACCTTCAGAAAAGGAAGCTTATTTCCAGCATTCAAGAGAAGATAATAATATGCCTTTCAATTTGGCTGGTAAAGTCCCTCTTTCAGTTCATAGATGCTCACAATTTCCCCAACCTTCAACAGGCATAAGCACAAGTACCTTCAAAAACATACGCAGTAATAAGGCAGGAACAGAGCAGGAAACTACAAAGATACTGTAAAACATGATCAGTACAGTCATAGCTTTTATAGTATAAACACCCAGTGAAGGGTTGATAAGCTCAAAAAAATCAGTAAGTTATTTCACAACACTCGCCTTCTTTTTAACAAAGCACTTGTTTCTTTCCATTTCTCTTCAACTTGTAAATTTTGTAAATAAGAGATTCTAGTGAACATCAAGTGTAATTTTACTTGTTCATGATATTACAGAAATGTGTCTCCAAGTATGACTTCTCCCTATAATAGAAAATTCCTCTATCTTTTTTCCTTTAAAACAAAAAACCAGGTGGCTGCCACTATGTAAAAATGCATTTTTGATACTGCAAATGTTTGATCCCAGCTTTGCAAGTAGAAATGTGTACCTAGTATTAATGTAGTGAATGAATCAAAGTGACCTCAGTGAGTAGATGAGCTACAAATACATTGGCTCAAAATATTTCCAACACAGAGAAACAGAACAACAAGGTTACCACAGTAATGCACAGAACTGATAGGGCTGAAAGGGACTTATGGAGATCATCTACTCCAACCCCCTTTCTAAGGCAGGGTCACCTAGAGCAGGTCACACGGGAAGGTGTGTAGATGGTTTCTGAATGTCTCCAGAGGGGGAGACGCCACCACCTCCTTGGACAGCCCATTCCAGTGCTCTGCCACCCTCAGTGGAAAGAAGATCTTATACTTTAGCTTTTGGCCACTGCTCCTCATCCCGTTGCTGGGCACCACCAAAAAGAGTCTGGCACCCTCCTCTAGGCACCCACCTTTGAGATATTTACACGCATTAATGAGATCCCCTCTCGATCTTCTCTTCTCTAGACTAAACAGGTCCTCCTGCAGTCTCTCCTCATAAAAGAGACGTTTCAGACCCCTAATCATCTTTGTGGCCCTGCACTGGACCCTCTCCAGTAGCTCTTTGTTTTTCCTGTCAATATTGCAATCCATAAATGTTCTACAGAGGTAGGAAAAAGCAACTGCTTCTGCAGATGAGGGAGCAGTTTGTCCTAACCCAGGCTTTATGTAATCAGGCAGAAGGCACAGATGAATCTTTTCCTCATCTAACCTCTGGTAACTCCAGCACCACAGAAGCCCCACTAAACTTTCTGACAGCATTAAGTAGAAAAAAGAAAGAGGATATGACTTTGCAAATAACTTAAGAAGCAAATTAATTAAGAAGCTGCTAAACACAGCAAATAGAAGAAAATCAGGACAATAACAAAAAAACAAAAACAAACTCATACTCAAAACTGAAAGGGAAGTGAAAAGAAAGCTGCAACAGCAAAATAATAAAACTTTTCCTCTCTCAGATGAGCAAAATGCTCTGTCATGGGTACAAACTGAAAGAGGGAAAATTTATGTCCGATATTAGGCAGAAATTCTTTACTGTGAGGGTGTTTACACATTAGAACAGGTTGCCCAGAGAGGCCCCATCGCTCACAGCTTTGAAGGCCAGGCTGGATAAGGCCTTGAGCGATCTGCTCTAATGGAAGGTGTTCCTGTTCATGGGCAGGGGGGGGAAGGGGTTGGGACGAGATGATCTTTAAGCTCCCTTCCAATCCCTTAGCATTCTACGATTTCACGATTTCTAGATCCAAGAGCTCCCAGCGTGACACAAGCCCTGGGAAGGGTACGCTAGTGGGGACAAGGCCTCCCCCCACGCCAGCGCTGCCATCATGTGACGCCCCACGACACCCGAGCGGCGCGGCGAGGGACCCCGGGATGCTGCAGGACAACCCAGCGCCAGGGCGCCTGCATCTCCCACAGGCCGCCGGAGCCGGCCCGGCAGCCCCGGCCGCTTCTTCCCGGCAGGAAGGGCCGCCCACACCTCGGCCCGCCCGCACCTGGATCCGGGGCCGCCACGCCCAGGGCCCGCAGCTGCCGCCGGGGCCCCGCAGGGACGCAGGGCTGGGGGAGACGGAGGAGGAGGAGGGGATGTCGAGGGCCCCACCTGAGGAGCGTCTCCAAGGCGCTCTCGTGCTTGTCGAGCGGGCGGCCGAGCGCGCTCTTGCGGAGCCGGCTGAGCTCCTCGGCGGCGCGGCAGTGCTCGGCCTGCGCCTCGGCGCCCGGGTAGCTCTGCTGGATGAACTTGCAGAGCGGCTTGGCCAGGTCCACCTCCGAGGCCTTCTTCAGCTGCACCGAGATGAAGTTCGTCATGTTCGCCGCCGCCGCCCCCCAGGCGGGCAGAGCCGCCACCGCCGCCGCCCCGGCCCCTCTCAGCGCACCGCGGGGTCCCTGCCCCGCCGCCGCCGCCGCTTCCGGGAGCGCCGCGCAGGCGCACTGCGCCCCGGCACCGCCTCCGGGAGGGAGGGAGGGAGGGAGCGGCTGTGAGGGAGGCTCGGAGGGAGGGAGGGAGGGAGCGGCTGTGGGAGAGGCTCCCGAGACGGGGGGACCCCGCACGGCAGGACGGCGTAGGGAGATGGCCGAGGGATGGGTGGCTCGGCCGGTCGTCAAAAGTTTTTCACGCTGTCTGTGCGTTTTTAACGGGAAAAGGCATCGGCGTTCGTTGGTTCCCAATTACGTAGCTTTTCTATTAATTAGTACTCCCACCCCTATTTCGTAGTTATATCCCTCTCTTCTCGTGCTGATTAGTCCGCAGGCGCAGTTCTTCCCTCCGTTTGAGTCTGGGGTCCCTTTCGAGTAGGTGCTCGGTGAGTCGGGGGTCGCAATCCCGGTGCTGAGGTTGCCTTTTTGCCTCTTACCGCTCAGTTCTGTCGGCTTCGCTCCTGGTGTTCCTCCCCAGACAGCCCATTCGTCTTGGGATTGTCTCCCCTTATCCTTAAAACAAAAGATTAGCCAAGTGCACAAACAGACAGAACCGCGTAATTGTTAGGGTGGGAAGGGACTCCTGGGGATCAGCTAGTCCGACCCTCCTGCCAAGGCAGGGTCATCTAGAGCAGGTCACACAGGAATGTGTCTGGGTGGATTTGAAAAGTCTCCAGAGAGGGAGACTCCAAGACCTCCGTGGGCAGCCTGTTCCAGTGCTCTGTCACCCTCAGTTGAAAGGAGTTATTCCTCATATCGAGGTGGAATTTCTCGTGTTCTCGTTTTTGGCCCTCGCTCCTTAAGCTGTCGCTGGGCACCGCCAAAAAGAGTTTGGCACCACACAACACTTGCGATGCAATTACTAGTCATAGCTGTTCAGTTACAGCTACTAATTAACAACTTCAAAGGAGGCACAAAGTTTGACTCAAACCTCTGTCCAAACCTTGTGGGACTCAAATCTCGAGGGGCTTGGTATCATTACCCCTCTAACACTACGGAAGGAGGGGCTTGGTATCTCCGGGCCCACTGCCCTAGGGGAAGCGGGAACCATGTTCTGCATATGAACCTTCCCATCTGTCCGAACTGCCGGGAGCCTGGGGAAGGCACTGTGTGGCGGGAGTTGTGACCGTGGAGCTCGGCTGTGGAAAGGGAAAACCTCACAAGCAGTGACACCGCTGTGAAAGCAGTGGCTGCGAGAAAGGAGTGGAGCTGTCAGGCATTTAACGCCTTACAGTGTCCCGTTCTCAAGCCCTGCCCTAAGGATCGGTGTCTTAAATAAAGCGAAACGCGGCTTCTCCATGGCAAATGTTGAAATGTGTCTATTGGCAGTAAAAGATGCAGATTCACGTGTTGTGTCATCACGGATCAGCCACATTATGCTTGCTTTCTGCTGACTCAGCACAGCGTGGCTCAGACAGGCGAAACAGGCACTCTGCCCGCCAGGCTGGATGGTCTGGGGACCAAAAAGGGATATGCAAGCCATGTGCTCATCTCTCTGTTTCCTCTGCCACTTGTTCCAGACAGCTAAGGCTCTAAGCCTGCTATTTTCTTATTGCGTAAGCTACCAGGCGATGACACCACAAAAAGGAGTGGTAAAAGTGCTTTTAAAATTGCATATTTGTTCTCAGTTTGTAGTAGACAACGGGTTTTGCTGTAAAGCAGGTGACCCATCCGTACTGAAAGTGTGCTCTACTAAGTAGAGCTGTTTTTGTCATCTCATGAACACCTGAAGTAGTGTGGCATAAGAGGAAAAGGGTAGACCCTGGGAAATCAGTCTTAACCACTCCTGTCACCACTGGGAGGGGCAGCTTGTCCAGGATTAAATGTCCTTGTATGCAATCCAGAGATGCTGTGGCAACGACAGCCAGGCCTTCCCAGGCACAGCCATAGGGAAGGAGACAATGGAGTTGTCCTCATTCTGCTGCATCCAGTCACCTTCAGTGGGGTCCAAGTGGGTACCCTTCAGAGTCCTGCCAGATTGCTTCTGTTACAAATCTTTGCCATAATCCCAAAAAGTGAATGTATATGTTATCAGTTCCTTGGGGCGCTCCTGGTTCCTGCGCTGAGTAAACACCTAGCTGTGTTTTTTATAGCTCAATCAAAACTAATTAGTAGTTGACTCAATTTTACATATAAAAAAAAAATGGTATCCTACAATAAATACAAAAAGTAGGCTGTCCTGCCATACTCATATCTGAGTGCATGAGTTCCTCCCGGGTGTTATATTTTCCCCTGAGTTTTATGCCCACTTAGACTTGCAAGTATTTGGTGTCTTAGCTTGAGTTAGCCTTGCACTGGGTGCACTTTCCTGTCCCAGAGAACACCTCCACCATCACAGGCTTGAATTCTGACCAATTTTAAGATACAATTTAAGTGTGGGCAGTTGCCTCCGTTTGTTTCCAATATCAAGACTTTCTGGAGTATAGTTAGCCTATAAGATACATGGCTGCCTATATATGGAAGATGGAAGCCATCAATACCTTCCAGCGTAACACTCATAAACATGGAAAGGGTGTGAACAGGGAAGGGCAAAAACTGCAGCTATGAGATCATAGTTCTACTTTAGAGCCATGGTGACCTTTGGATGGCTGTTGCTTAATGAATGGAATGACTGATACTTTGCATTCCTAAACATCCGCCAACACAACACAGAAATTTCACTTTGTCTTAGAACAAGTTACTACAGCTTCAAATGTACAGGTGATTTGCTTCTTTCCCACATATTTCCTGATAAATCAGTACTCCTCTGAAGGCTTTATTCTGATTATTACAATTATAATGTTATAAGCAGTAATGACTTGTTTCCTTATTACCTCTGACTGGTTAAGTACTATTTCCCAATATGAGGAAGCCACATAGTTCAGGAGTTATCAGTGCTGAGGGCATAATCTACATCTTCTGACTCACAGTCCTGTGCTTTAAACAACAGACCATACTTCCCTCTTCAACAAACTTATGATGCTATCTAAGGGAACTGCTTTAAAACAGGTTCCCCCAAAATGTTTGAAATGAGGCAGCATAAACAAGTAACAGCCACTGATACATTTCATTTCAGTGTAGACCATTAGATGTCCCCAGCTTTCCTCTTTTTCCTAAATAACCATCATGCATATGTATAACACCACAGTTTTGCAAAAGCACCTCTAAAAGTCAGATTTGCTTTCAGTACTCAAACCAACTTTTCTTCAGTTTCTTGCGTTTTATCTACCATTTTTAGACAGAAAAACTTTCATGTAAATCTTAACATTCTCTTTTCATTCTTGCTTTCTGTTCATGAAATCTGTGTACAGATACTTCATTGAAGCAAGACTTTATTCTGCATTTGCTGTATTTTATTCTGTAAGTTTGATCATGCTGCTTTATCCATAGTGAAAGAATTTCCCTGTAGCAAATCAACTAATTAGCAAACAGACGCTATACCAAACAAATCAAAAATCAGCTAAGGAAGTGATAAGGCAGTTAGTTGGTAATTTCATTAAATCATTAGGCCCTTTTGCCTAAAGCTGCATTTAATCGCTCAGATCCAATCCCATTTTGATATTCCTAACAAAATTTTTTGGTGATATAGGGTAAGGATCAAGTATTTTACCACCATTATCTTTTGACCATGAGTTTCAGGAATTATTATCATCAATTATCAAAATGAGGGAATGCAGAAAGCAAGTTGTATGTCTGATTTGATCTAAATAACCCATCTAGTCCTACTGCCCATTTAGAAGAAAATGTAAAATTCTTATGACCTATGGATGAAATTTTTCCGTAGCAGCCCATAATCAAAATTACAAGGAAGAATTCCTACCATTTCCTTCAAATTTAACACTCCTTTACTTTTTGCTTCAAAATTTGGAGGAATTATTAATCCTAATTCCCTCAATTTTAATTTGTATTTATGAGAGTTTTACATTTCTCATTGGTGAGGAGAGACCTGAACCAGAAGATGCATTGATAATGAACTCAGCTGGGCAGGGGCTGGGCTTATCTTTGTGCTTATAAAGCTGCAATCACAAGAATGCTCGATACGTCATCCTTCTGCTGTTCCAATGCTAAATACAAAAAACATGTCTTCAGTCCAAATTCCAGATGTGATACAGGTCAGGGTGACTAAGTGAGAGGCTGGAGAAGTGGGAAAACAGGTCTAAATCAATACTCTCGGTACACTTATTTAGGGTAGGCACTTTTATGTAGCGGTAATTACAACCAAGTTGCCTTTCAGCAACAATAAGAGTAAAGGTAGCGACTAATCTGATTTTTGCTTGAGGAGAGGGTGCTGGCAGAATGGTCTAGAATAATAATAGCATCACATGCATTGCTAGTGGCACAGAAAACAACACTGTAGATGTTCACAGAAAGATATTATGCCAGACCTGGAAATTGTTGACTTTCAGGTAAATAATTTTACCTGCTGCATTGCTCAACATGAGCCAGCAACGTGCACATGCAGCACAGGAAGCCAACTGCTTCCTGGGCTGCATCAAAAGCAGCATGACCAGCAGGTCAAGGGAGGTGACTCTGTCCTTCTACTCCCCTCTGGTGAGATCCCACCTGGAGTACTGTATCCAGCTCTGAGGCCCCCAACATAGGAAGGACATGGACCTGTTGGAGTGAGTCCAGAAGGAGATCCACAAACATGATCAGAGCACTGGTGCAGCTCTCCTGTGAAGACAGGCTGAGAGAGTTGGGGTTGTTCAGCTTGGAGGAGAGAAGGCTCCAGGGAGACCTTGGAGCAGCCTTCCAGTACCTAAAGGGGACCTACAGGAGAGCTGGAGAGGGATTTCTTTACATGGGTATGTAGTGTAGTGATAGGACGAGGGGGAATGACTTTAAACTGAGCGACGATAGGTTTAGATTAGATCTTAGGAAAAAATTCTTAACTGCAGGGGTGGTGAGACATTAGATGAGGTTGCCCAGAGAAACTGTGGATGCCCCATTCCTGGCAGTATTCAAGGTCAGATTGGATGGAGCTTGGAGCAACCTGATCTTGTGTAAGATGTCCCAGCCCATGGCAGGGCTTGGAACGCAGATGATCTTTAAT